CACTCTTTTCATAAAGGGGTGGACATGGTCAGCAACAATACTCGGGTAGACTGAAGTGTTTAACTGATGCTTGTTTGGTCCTAAGGGGCCCAAAGCCCCCACATCATTACAGCCTGAACTGTTGGTGCAAACCAGGATGGATGGATCCTTGTATTCACATGTTTACATGATTCTGAATTCCCCATCTGAACATAACAGCAGAAATCGAGACTCATCAGATCATTTTCTGTTGTCCAGTTGTGAGCCTGTGTAAACTGCAGCTTCATTTTCATCTTCTTGGCTGAGGAGACAGAGTATAGAGAACTGTTGGACGACACTGTGCAGTGGGGTGGTACCTCCTCCAAAACGTGGCAGAGACAAAGGAAATGGTGATAAATTTTAGGACAAAGTGAACACATTTCCATTCTGGGAGAAGACGTAGCATTAATGGAGAGCTACAGATACATGATCATTCACCTCAGCAAATGACCATCTTCGTAGGAAGAGACAGCTGGTGTTTTCTTACGTTGCAATGCATCTGACTTCTCACATTTCACCACAGACATCATTTAAATGTCACAGCCTACCTGAGTGTTGTTGCTGACCATGTCAATTTCTTTCTGACTTCAGTATACCCATTTTCTGATGGATGCTTCCAGCTGGACAACACACCTTCCCACAAAGCTCCAATCATCTCAAACTAGTTCTCACTCAAACAGTGAATTCGAGCCTCTACAGTTATGAAATCCCAATATTCTGTAGAACAACTTCAGGATGTGGAAGAATGAGAAATTTTGATTTGCAACCAACAAATGAGCACACACTTTTCTTTTTGTCTCATTTTTCCTCACAATATTCATGACAGCCAGTCTCATCATCGTCTAAGGTGTCCTGCTGCTTTACATTCAGTCCATGTCAAATCTCAACCAACCTCCCAACTCAAGAGAGGAATTTTCTGAGTACCCCTTCTTTCAGTTCATCCACTTTTCCACTGACACAGCAGCGAACACACTGACACACTCTCATTTGAACACAAATTGAAATCCTTTGCAGAACAACCACGTGTGCCACACTGAACAAAAGTGGGCAGATAGAGAAATTCCATTGCACATTGCTGCAGCATGACCACATGAAGTGGTAGCCATGGTTACTGCATTAAGTGACGACGGAGAGCCTCTGGTGATAAATGAGTTTTGCTTTTCTCTAGGGGTGGCTTTTAATAATCGATTCATCGATTAAAATCGATTCTGGCTTGGATAACGTGAAATCCATTCATTAAAATCCTCATTAAAATGTATTTTGCCCAAAATTCCAGAATCTCAGGTGAAACGTCACAAAATTTTGACAACCACCAAACATTTAAAACAGTAAATGAGAGCAGGAACACGGCTTCTGCACAAAGACGTAAACACCGCGGATCAGAATCCGTGAGCTGTCGCCTTTCTCATGGTCGGGGCTGAAAGCCGACAGCTCGCTGATTCTGATGTTTCGCCCTTTTTGCGCTGATTCTAAAGCTGTTAGTTTGATCTCTCTCCAAACAGTATTGACCAACCAGCACTTCATGCACAGCTCTCTCTCTCTGTACTTCAAGAACAGTTTCCCGTCTATCCCCGAAATCTGTTTTCTGCATTATTCGCTTGCTTGTTACACACAAGTCTACCGTTGTTTACAGGCTGTCGGCCGCTGTTTTTTTTTCTTTTTACTTACTTCCGAAAACCTAATTTCTGCCGTTCAACAGGCTTCTGAACAAATTTAAACTTTTTAAAATTATACAAAATGCAAAACGCTCAGCTGTGTCTCTAATAAAACCGCTGTAACTTCAGAGGTAATGTTCATATGTTGATTAATGGTTTTCTTTCGTTTTTGATCTACTGCAGAATATTTTTATAAAATTCGATGCCAGGAAAATCACCTTCATGTTTTTCTTCAGCTACTTTGACACAAAGGCCTCTGCTGTGATGCTCACACCTTTGATAAAGTCTGGAAAGTGTCAGCTTCCTTATTATAGATACAAAAATATGTAAATGTACTGATCTGAATTATAATATTTCTGACTGTGTGAGGCAAAATTTCCCAGATTCAAATCGAATCGAATCGATTCAGGACCTTGTGAATCGAATCGATTCTAGAAGTCAGTGACGATACCCAGCCCTACTTTTCTGCCCTCAGCGGGAGCACAGGCTACAGATCTGTGCTCACTGTGAACACATGCTTTTTGTTTTTACTGAAGCTCTTCATTCATAGAAGTTAGTGACGTATGCTGAGGAAACTTGGTCCTTTGAAGCAAATATCCCAGTTTCAGTGGTGAGGTCTTATGTTCAGATGTCTATGGGCGCCATATTTTGTGGACAGCAATGGGTACCTGGTACATTTTAAGCTGCAGAAGATTTAAGGAGACACCTTTGTCATCCATCACCTCTTGGCGTTTGGATCAATTTTGGTTGCTTTTTGCCAACTGCAGTTAACAAGGAGGCTGACAAATCTGAAAGAGAAAATTCAGGTGGGTGGGTGCTATGCTGCTAGCAACGTAATGTGAGCAGCTGCAGGGACCCAGTGGAGAGAAATGAAACACAGAGCGTGACGTGAGCTGGTTTAAGACAGAGCATTTTATTCCCCTTTTCCTTTAATGTAAGAAGTGATATAATCAAGTGGCACAAAGAACATAAGCAATATTAGCATTTCAAAGACTTTCACTGGCAAATAAATCACATTTATGCACACGGGTTCACTGTACTGCCAAAAATCTTAAACTCTGGTCACGATTTCATTCGAATGATTGGTTAACAGCATTTTCCTAAAAAGGGAAAAGCTGAATTAATAATTTACTGTCATAGGAGCATAAATAGTGTCCTCTGGTTACAGGCAGATATGGGCAGTAACGCGTTACAAATAACACTTTACTGTAATCCAATTACTTTTTTCAA